TCCCAATCTCCTTTACAGATAAAAGACTCCTGACTTATGAGATGCAAGATGGGTGGGATTTCTGGGAAAGCAGTTCTAAATGGGGCTAACTAGCCTGCCATGAATCTTTGGAACTTTGCCTTCCCATGATTCTTGCCTAGAGTGTGGACAGGGTGCTGAGGCTGAAGTAACCACTTGCAGCCATTAGACAACCAACCTGAGGATCACAGCCACTCAGTAGAGATGGCTGAGTGCGGGACAGAAGGAGGCTGGGTCTGACCTCAGTGTGGGGGCTGCCATGTTAGACCTGCTCAGCTTAGTTCTGAACATCTTGTTACATGAGAAAACAAGGCCTCTTGTATATTTAAAACACTTTTAGTCGCATTTTCAGTTACTTGCAACTGGGTGCAGCCTGCACTGGCACAGATTTTCTCTGTGTCTTTTATTCGAGTCTGTGTTCAGTTTTATGCTCACAGCAGGTGGCTGTAGAGGCTGCATTCTATGATGATAGGGCTGATGCTGCTGGTGCCCCAAATGCCACCCCTGGGGGTTCACCATTTCTCTGCATGCCTGCCTGATTTCCACTTGGGCAGCACCTATGACTGCCTGAAGGCTTCCTTGGGCCACTGGCGCCTGCTCTGTTTACCCATGGGACAGGCTGGAAGGATGTTCCAGGAATACCCTCATCCTCATCTGGGGGCATCCTTTCACACGTGCCTGATGGGGTTGGTGTATAAATATCCCAGCTCCCTTGCCCTGTAGGCAGGATAGTCTTGAGGCAGTTTCCGCACTGGCTCCCAGGGTACCCCAGGGATCCTGAAGCAGAAGTAAGCTCTGTTGCTGACAGTAGTAACAGGCTTGATGGCACATACTTGTGGCTTCCTTTCCTTCTCTGTGTCATTCCCCACTGCCTTATTAGGGTTGTCTGGGGTCACCTTCCAAATGGACTACTTGCTTTAGAATCTCTGTCTCAGTGTCTGCTCCTGGAGGAACTCAAACCAAGATAATGGGGTTTCACAAGGGTTCACTGAGGTCCTGAAAGTGAGAGAGCCCAGAAGCATGTGTGCGCTCTTTGCATAAACTGAACCAGACCTTGCAGTGCATATCAGGCAAAAGTTCCTGCTAACCCAGCATTTTGGGGCCTCTGGCTGTCAGTTTTTGGTGAATCGTTTCTTCTCCAACAACTTTCTGCAATGTAGATCCATGACAGACAGGGAAAGAAGTGTCAGCGCAAGGCCCAGGTTGGCAGAAATCCTGATGGGGCACGTGGGCAGCTGGAAGGGCTGGCCGTGAAATGCAGAAGTAAGGAGAGGATGCCACCCGCAGCTCTGTAGCGTGCAGCTGAATGGAAACATTGACAATCTGGTGAGATCTGCCGGGTTTATCTGAAGTAGCCAGCTTCTTTCTTCTCGGGTTCTCCCACCTACTAAGGGTCACCTCAAGAGATAATTAGGAGTGCTTCAAGCAGCCAATGCAATAACCTGAGGTTTTAGTATTTTTAAAATAATAATAAGCATATTTGAGGAATATGGATGGACTATATGCCCCTAATTTTTTAAGAAAACCCCTGATTTAAATATTTGACCTATTGACAGAGCTGGGTACAATAGCAAGCAAGACCCCAAGTTTTAGGATCAGGTATAATCAAACCCACAATTGGTCTAGAATATTCCACACTGTATGGAAACATGTTTGTTCCCTCAGAGCAGGGGTCAGCAAACTACTGCCCAGGGACCACATGGGGCCAAGTGGCTGTTTGGTAAATAAAATTTCACTGGAATACAGCCATGCCCACTTGTTTACATGACTGTATATGGTGGGGGTTTCCTTGCCCAACCATGATATAGTTGACTAATTGCGACAGAGCCTATATGGCCTGCAAAGCTTAAATATTCACTGTCTGGGCTTCACAGAAAAAGTTAACTAAGCTCCTGCCTTAGGCAATTGCCAAGGATCCCCCCCACCCCCCAAATCTGCACTTGCAGGAAACATCTCCTTTAGCCTTAGCCCACCCCCACCCCCACCCCCACCATCCACAAACTCCAATTCCTACAGGAATTTTATGCAATTCCTGAAACTTTAATGTGCCTATAAATCAACTGGCAACTGTTGTTGGAAATACAGGTTCTGATTCAGTTCCTCTGGGATGGGGCCCAAGAGTGTATTTGTGATGTGCTCCCAGGGCACCCTGATCCTGCTGGTCTGATGGCCACCCTTTGAGCAAAGAGCAAGGTTCCAGAAAATTGGCTTTTTCTCCACAGGACAGCAGCTTTCCCAATGACCCTTGTGGTTTGGCATTGCAAACAGTGCCATCCCCCTCCCTAACCCCTTCCTTTCCCTTGTACACACATTAGCACATATGCACACACACACACACCCCTAAATACAGGTGTGTGGAGTCACTGCCTCCCCTTTCTGAAGAGTTCTGGTCTCTGTCTGAGGAGCAATTTCAAGAGTTAAAGAGCTGTGAAGCCAACAGCAGGAGAGATGCCAGAACTCTAATTTGTCTCCCTTTTTATTTTTAGTTTGCTGTTAGATAATGCTCGGCACCTGTTCACTAGACAGATCTGTTTCCAATCTCCTCTCTTTCTCTTTCTTGGCTGTGTGGCAGCCCAGACATGTTGCACTGCCTGAGCGAGGGAATGAAAGCCAAACAAAACAGCTCTTTGGAATTAGAAACACGGCAAGGGGCTAAAGACAACTGAGGCCGGGTTCAGGCCGACCACAAGGAGCTGGTGGGGAAGACAGCTCTGCAGTGCGGCCCTCGGATCCAAGCGTGTACTGTTTTCTTTTCCTTGGCTTAAAACTCCAGTGAGGCTTTGAAACGTGTTTCCCACCTTCAGGGTGCAAAGGAAACCCTTCTCTGCTGTCCTGTAATCAGACAGCAGGCAGATGCTTTTTACAGAAGTGATCTCAATCTTTCTAATTTTGATTTGATTTTTTGATTTTTTCCTTTGTGGGAAGTTGCCCAAAACATGTGGTTTCAGTGTTACAGATACAGAGCCATTTCCCAGGTATTGCAAGTGAACCAGAAATATTGAATTCACGTCAAAACCTTTCTTCTTGGGTGCTTGGGTTTTATTCTCTGTTTGTGGTGGCTGGACCTGACCGGCAAATATGGAGATTCAGATCCATGCATCATGCAATACCCATGGATAGACAGCACATATCTAAATGTCAGTTGCACGTGGGTGGGCAGGACGTACCTAGCAAAGCCTCTGAGAGCTACAGCTATGGGGATAAATTTGATAGTGCAACATAAGGAACTACCGCAGGGCAATGCCTTTTTTAAAATAATGAGGACTGACAGTGTGAAGAGAGTGCTGGGCTCAGAAATTTTCTTCTTTCCCAAAGCTATCCTGAGCCCAGACTTCCCCAAAGTCTAACACGGGGAAGAGAAGCAGGTCCTGGCTATTAACAGAAAGCTAAGGCAGGCCTCTTTTTTTTGATTGTCATGTTATCACACATCCTTACATTAGGACTTTCCTGTCCTAAGTCTCCTGAAATGCTTTACAACTTGTTTTTCACTCACGAAATGAAAATACAGTGTTGTGTGACTAAGAGCTGGCAATGTTTTATTTTATTCTAATTTTTTCAGTGTTATGTGTTAGAGGCAAGGCCCCACCCAAATGCCCTTTGGGGTGGCCACACCTGGGGGCATAGAGCTGTGCAGCCCCAGATTGGATCTCTAAGTTCAATGGAGCTGTAGAAACACAGCAGGTGAGGAGCCTGTGCTTTGGAGTCTGAATTTGGATTTATTACCAACAGGAAGATTAAGCATTTCTGCTAATAGTGTATCAGCCCTGAGAGGAGAAAGGGCTGGACCCTGAACTGGCTCCGAGAAAGGGAATTGGGTGATGCTAGCACCCAAGCTGAAGTGCCCCCGGGGCCAGTCCCAGCCATCCTCTCTCCCACCGCAGGCAGTGCTGGGGTCCTAGATGACACCCAGACAGAACCTCTTCCCAGGACTTCACCAGGACGCCTCCCATTTGTCTCCTCACCCTTGGGCCTGCCCTCCAGCCTCTCCAAGACTTTAGCCCCTGAGTCTACGTGCTGGTTCCAGGTGCTCGCCTCTGACCTTCCTCCACTCCTTACCTGGGCTTCCAGCCTCTGCTCCCTGCAGATAAGACAGCCCCTCCATCCCAAGGAAGCTCGGCCTCAGCCCACAGCCCCTCCCTGGGGAGGCTGAGACCCCTTCAGGAGTCAGGAGCCAGAAACCAGAGGCTGAGAGAAGCAGGGGGCCTGCCTGGGACCCTTGGCTGCTGCTGACAGAGCAATTGGAGTTTCACCCCACAGCCTCTCGGCAGGTCACTCAGTTTTCAGGGTTATGTCTGCCCCATGATCAACCTGCCCTTGTTCATTCCACAGAGTGGGCTCAGCTTTGTTCTCAGTGAGCCCTTTAAAAAAATCTTCTACTTCCCTGGGTGTAAGATACTATAAAAATTAGGTCTCTGCAGTGGGAAGTGGAAACTGCAGTCCGTTTCTGTGTATGCTTACGACATCTTACACAAACACATTTGCATCATGGACTTTAGGCTTAGATATTGTATTAGGATGGTATATATATATCCTAATAGGATCAAAAGACAGATAAATAGAGATACAAAAATTTATCGTAAGGAATTGGCTCATGTGATTATGGAGGCTGGGAGTTCTGAGATCTGCTGTGGGCAAGCTGGAGGCCAGGAGAGCTGATGAGGCAGTTGTAGTCTGATGCCCTAGGTTCCAAACAGTCAGGCAGAGAGAATGAAGTCTCGTGTACCCAGCCTCATTCTATGCAGGCTTTCCAAGGATGGGATGAGGCCCAGCCACATCGGGGAGGGCAGTCTGCTTTACTTAACTCACTGCTCCAAATGTTAACATAATCCAGAAACACCCTCACAGACACACCCAGAATAATATTTGACTACATATCTGGGCTCCCCATGGCCTGGCAAGTTGACATGTAGAATTTACTTTACATGTAGAATTTACCCTGACTAGAGTTTTAAAGCACCCTCTTCTTCCCTCCATTCCTGCAGGCTTTTCGGGAGCATGAAGCCCATATTTAAAAATAAGTATAGCCACAATATCACTGTGTTCAGGAAGAATCTTCCTTGAGTTTTGCCAGAAAAGCTCCAGAGAGGACCTTGGTTGGTATGGTTCAGCTCCAGTATTCAGCCCTGTAGATCTCCCTAGGTCTGCAGGAAAGGGCTTCAGCTGGCCAGCATGGGGCACCAGGCAGTGCCTGTGATGGAGGCAGAGCTCCTACAAGAAGGCACAGAACCCAGTGAAATCCACAGGCTTCTAAATTCAGGAGGTCAGTGAATGTGATTTGAGAACTTGCATTTTTAGTTTAAGTATCCTCTCACTGCAATCAAGCATTTACTTTAATGACAAACATAGGCTGGTGATATTAATGGTGCTTGCAACTATGAAGCCAGGAGAAATCACAGATGTATATTATATCACTTTACAGGTAAAGCAGCCACCTCAAAATACCATGTGTGCTGTTCACCACTCTGCAAGTGCTGTAATTTTTCGGGCTGCCCCAGGCCTTGTTAGTTAATGCACTGATAAAGGAACAAGGATGTAACTTTATCACAGATTATAATCTTTTTGATAACTGTCTTCCAGGATAACTGGTTCCCTCTGTAACTTTCTATGTCTTATTGTATGAACTCTAAAGCATTTCCCTGAGGAAGAGTCCATAGGCTTTGCTAGATGGCCAAAGGGGTCCCTGCCAGAGATTGTCTAAGTCACACGGGATGGAGGGAAAGGCCATTCCTGCAGGGAAGGCTTGTGCACACACAAGAAGAGCCCCGTCCCTGCTGGCAGGACACAGCACGTTTGCACTGATTCCTGCCTACCTGTCCTACAGAGAATCCATTTTGCACCCACTTCTGGATGAGGCACTGAGCTCAATAGCAGTTGAATGAATATACTCTGCCTGCCTGAAATTCGGGCATGGGCAGCTGAATCACACCCTTTCAATGCAGAGGCTTTGTCCTTAGACATTTTTGTGCCCTAAGTCTGGCTGTTGCTTTGGGGAGGGAAAGCACTAGAGCATGGGGTGGGGTGAGATGTCTGATGGCCCGCTCCTCACCTCATGGTGGAAAACAGAAGCCTGTGGGGTTACAAGGACTCAAGATGGCAATCAGCTTCATGGACCATTTCGCATGTACACGTACTCTTTGATTTTTAATTTTCTGGAAAGGTTCCTCTTCTTGATTTTTTTATTCTGGCCCCATGGAGGGACTTAGAAAGCCAATGGTTGTTCCCCATTTCCTACACAGGGACATGGATGTGCATGAAAAGGCATAGGTATGTCACAGAGGTGGGGGGCAGCTTTAGGCCTCCAGGGCGTTTATGCACTATTGCTGCATACAACTGGTGTGAGCATGCCACAGGCAGGGAAGGAGGAAGTAAAGGAGGAAGAGAGAGACAGAGTGCTAGAGAGAGGATGGCATGGCTGATGACTGCACTTCCAGAGAGGAAGGCTGTGGAGAGTTTAAAAACACTGTCCAAACTTCAGCGCGGGTGACACACTCACCATTGCTACAGTCTCACTGTTTGAGAAAAGTGGTTCTCAACTAGGGGCAATTTGCTTCCCAGGGAACATGGAACAATGTCCAGAGGCATTTTCAGTTGTCACATCTGGGGAGGGGATGCCACTGGCATCTAGCGGGTAGAGGAGAGGGATGGTGCCAAGCACCGTAGAACGCGCAGGACAAGCCAGACAACAGTGCATTCTCAGACCCAGGGTATCAACAGGGCCAACGGATGCTGAGAAGCCATTTCAGAATTTTAGAGGCATGTGCTAGAACGTCAGGAAAAACAAGCAGCGACAAAACTGCTGGCTCAGGAAAAGGAAGTTTATTAGCAGGGTTCAGCTGAAAGCAGTGGCCCTCTTAGGTAAAATGCATTTCTGAGAGAAAGAGAACGGCCCCTCATTGAGGGCAAAAAGGAAGCAGACCATGCTGTCTATAGATTTAGTCTCTTGAAATTATTTATGCAATTCTAGAGCTGCTTATGGTTTCCGCTTCACTGGATGTTGATGTAGCTCTAGCTGTCATCTAGCTCCATCTCCGCCTGTCTGTCTTTATTATTACTATTATTATTATTGTCTCTCATATAGGCCTATCATCTACCATCTATCTACCATATCAAGAGCAAATTGTGTGAACTTTGGTAAAACGGAATGAAGTAATTTCCCTTTGGGCCAAAACACGTGAGTTCCTATTGACATGGCTGGCACGATGTCGCTGGGATTTCTGATTCTGATCGGCTGAGGCTGGAAGTTCAGACCAATGCAGAGCTCTGCCCACGAGCTCTCCAAGACTGGGGAGAGCCTTTCTCCTCACCAGTAAGGATGGGATGGCGTGCGGAGCCAGGGCTGGCACTCTCCTGCCCTCTCCCTTCCTGTGCTGACTGCACCTGGCAGCGGCACCTTTCAGCTCATGTTAAAATAAAACAAAACAAAATGAAAATCAGAGACGGATTCTGGGCACAGCACCTTTTGCTGTCTTCTCTCATTTTTCATTGTTTTGAAAGGAAACCGTTACCCCTGTATTTTCTCATTTGCCTGCAGGCAGCCCTTGATGTTGATTTAATCTGACTTAATCAGGTGAACTTGGCTAGGTGGGGGCTGGGACCCACCTAGGAACGGGGTGTGGGTGTCTGACTGGCGGCTCCTCATCGCCCTGGACGCTGTGTCTGGTAGGATCTCCTGCTGCTCAGATGACCTGGCAGGTGACTGCTGTTCCTTTCCCAGGGGCTGCTCCTGTCAGTGGGTTGTTCAAGGAAACCTGTAGGTTTCGATCAAAGGAGGGAGGAGGGATTGGAGGCACCTGAGTTAGGGAGGGAGGAAATGGGAGGACAGTGGAAGCTCAGAGGTGAGGCTACCATTGCCTCCTATCCTGCACTTTCCACCACTGGATGGCTGAATGCCTCTTAGAGGGGGTGCCCAGCCAAAGAGGTGAGTCAGGAATGATCAGGTGGGACTGCAGCACGTCCAGGTGCCAGAGCTGGGGAGGAGGCTAGTCTGTCCTCCCAAGGCACCAGGGTTGCTTCTGGGCCCTGGGAGACCGGGGCCCCCAGCAGAATTAGCCAACCTTGGTGGGGGCATGAAGGAGGCTGATGTGGAGACAAGGGGACGCCTGAGGGAAGTAGTGCCTGAGCAGAGGTGAGGCACCCTCAGGGAGGTTCCAGGGCAGGTTGGGAGGGGGCTGCCATCCTGCAGTTTGGCGGGGGGTTGGTATGAGGGTCACTAGGATGACGTGTGCACCTCAGACTGATGACCAGCGCTGGGGACACGGAGGAGTGGGACAGCTCATCTTGTCCTGGGCTGACTGGAATCTATTTGTGGTGCTAATAATTCAATTTTGGCAGTTCAATAGGACCTGCAGTAGCAGAAGGATCTCAAGATGGTCAGAAGCAGAAGGACGTAGAATTAATGAATGCAGAATTTCTAGGTCAGGCTGAACTTTCCTGGGTCTGAAGATTAGTGAAACTGTTCTCATGGCTTCTCTGCTGCTTGTCACCCCCATGCAGTGAGGCCAAAGTCGTCACATGGTCACACACCCTCTGTTCCTCCACTGCCTTCTGGTATCCTGTGGTGACCTTACAAAGACCTGCAGGACCTGAACCCTCCCTGGAGATGTTGGCTCCGTCACTGTGGAAGTTCAGGACCCAGGAAAATTAAAGTAGGGAAGGGACATGATTTGGTGGCCTTGTTTAATTTTTAGCTTTTTTTTTTTTTAAACCAGGGGACTATGGACCTCTATCAACCCCAGGCACTTGTCTGCAAAATTTTGTGGGCAGGTGGGCATATAAATTTGGGGGTGGGGAGAGAGAATTTCATCAGATTCTTAGGGGTGTCCATCACCAGTGCTCCTCACCAAGTCTCAAAACAAAAGCAAAGCTTTGGGACCACCAGAGAACTGGGTGACTTCCATTTGCCACTTTTTCTCTGCAGAAGAGAGGTGGTCTTTAAGCCTCCAGGGGGGTTGTGCAATACTGTCGTATACAATGCTACTGGCATGATCAGGCCACAAGCAGGAAGAAGGAAAAAGAGAGAGAGGATGATGCTGGCAATGAGTGCGTCTTGGGGGAAGAAGAAGGGCAAAGTCGTAGAGAATCATAGTGCAGGGATGGTATGAGCATGCACCAGGTAATCATATGCTATGTTCGGGGGACATAAAAACAAGACTGTTTAAGAGACAGCCTATCCCTTGAAGGCCAAAGCTGACAGGCCAGCAGAGGAGACCCTCATGTAGTGCAGGGAGCCTTAGCTCCCCTCCTCACGGCCCTTTGGGGGCTTACTTGAAGATAACCGAGTTTTCTGTGGTGTGTGGTTGAGTTCTCCTACAATCTTCACGCTTGCTAATGTATCTTTAGACCTTTCTGTGCTGAGACCTGTGATATAAAGGAGAGGGTGGGAGGGGAAGTGAAGGCCACCCACTTAGCGAGCGTTGTCAGTCGGTGCTCAGGGCAGGGGCTGCCATGGGAGCACAAGGAGGGGAAGACGTGGCTCCGGGTGCCCGAGTCCAGTGGGGAGAACAAGACATACCGAGACCTGGACCGCTGTGGGAGGGCGGCGACAGAGGTGGACGCCGCAGGCTGGGGGAGGTGCAGAGAAGGGCGCTTCCCCCAGCCCGAGGTGACCTAGGAGGGCTGCCTGCGGGTGGCAGGGTCTGAGCCGGGCTTAAAGGATGAGGAGTGAGTCAGGTGACCTGAGTTTTGGGGTGGGAAAGACAAGGAGGGCTGCGTGACACAAGGTAAAGGGGTAAGCGAAACAGTGAATTGTGAAACTAAGACCAGAGTGGCGGGAAAGCCCTGGCAGCATAAAATAGGAGGTGACAGCGGCCAGACACGTGCGGGAGCTGGACAAAGGACAGATAGTGAAGGGCCGGAAACCTGTTCCTATCTGTGCCCCGAGCCACGTGGCTTCCTGAAATTGCCTGCTTTTCCAAGGCTGCTTCTGCTCTTTCATGAGGTAACAGCTGAGGGGTTTACCCAGGAAGTGCCATCGTGGACTGCACTTTAAGGGGATCCATTGATAGCCCAACCTGACAGCAATACAACTTGAGAAAATTTCTGTTTCTTTCTCCGATGCATCTTGGGCTTTAGAAAGTCCTCTTATGCAGGTTGACATTCATTGGCCTGATGGCCGCTGTTGGGAGCCAGTTCTCCATGAGAGAATTCTTACATAGTTTTGCACAGCTGCGAACAGAGATACTCGCTAAGTTTGTTCCAGATTCTATTTTCAAAGATGCTGGTCTAATGAACAGAGTGAATGTTTACTGCTCACTATAAAAGATGTGGATTCCCTAAGCTCAGAATTCTTTTCTTGTAATGCAAGTCTCTGTGTGTACAGGGGTCACCTGGCTTTCTTCGTGTCACTCTGAGGGCACTGGGCTGGGGGGAAATGCACACATGCTGACGTTGCTATTGTTATGAGTAGTAAAGCCCTTTGTCTCTGACCCAGGAGCCTGTGACTTCCAGCTGGCCATCTTCCTCAGCCCGGGCTGCTGTAGCAAAATACCACACACCAGGTGGCTTAAACAACAGACTTTGTTTCTCACAGCTCTGAAGGCTGGGAGTCCAGGGCCGGTTCCGGTGAGAGCTGTCTTCCTGGCCTGTAGATGGCTGCCTTCTTGCTGTGTGCTCACGTGGTGGAGAGAGAGCAAGCTTCAGTCTTCTCTTCTTCTAAGGGCACCAGTCCCATCATGAGGGCCATGCCTGCCTGACCTCATCTAGATTTAAATTACCTCTCAAAGGCTCCACCTCCAAATACCGGCACATTGTGGGCAGGGCTTCAACATATGAATTCGGAGGGGGACACAGATACTCAGTCCATAAGGCCAGCTCACCTGTTAGCTTGTAAACAGGGAAAGCCTCATCCCCTCACCTGATCTGTGGCACCCTACGTTTATTTCTCTTACAGCTCATGCTCCATTATTGAGGTTTATTACATGAGGGTCTCCTCTGCTGGCCTGTCAGCTTTGGCCTTCAAGGGATAGGCTGTCTCTTAAACAGTCTTGTTTTTATGTCCCCCGAACATAGCATATGATTACCTGGTGCATGCTCAGTAAATGTGTGTCGAATTCAGCTGAGGCAGAAACTATGCATATGGTTCTGAAAAGAGGTAGAAATCAAGAGGCAAGTTTCCTTCACTCCTCTGGTCCCAGAATGATTAACTGGCTTCATGAAGGAGAACCCCAAACTCAAGATCACCTGCTAAAGCCTCGTCCGCTCCCACATTCTGCAGACTTATTAGTGCTGAGTCATCTGCAGTCAGCCACTGCCCTAGCCGTCAAATCAACTCCCAAATGTGACCCTGGCAGGAGGCAAACCTCCAAAGGTCAAGGCCCAGGAAAATAAAAATAAGTAAATAAGAATTCAACAGCAGATGGCCTGAAAGGACGGAGCTGGAGTGGAGGATTAACTGGCTGATAATAAAAGCTGTCATTATAGAGTATCATCGTTGGCAGGTTATTTATTAGCTCTTCCCTTTAGATACCAAATGTCAAATGTGCTCATGTGCAGAATCCAAGCCTTCCCCTCCCAGCTGCTCTAGTGTCAGGCTGCCAGCTGCACTGTCTCCTTTGCAAGACCTGCCAGGAATTTGGCATTCATATGCCATGTTATGCATACCATATTGCACTTAAAAAAGTCCAGATGAGGACAGCTCAGCCTAATAATCAGCCTGTCAATCATTATGCCACATGGTGCATGGAACTGCTTTTCCCAAAGACTTTGTTCTCTGTTAGAATGGGCTCTCTCTGAGCCCTGAGCACCAGACAGAACGTATGGTTTATTTCACCAAGCATGGCCTAGAATAAAAGAGGTATATCTACCCATTCATTGCCCATGGAAGCTTAGAGAATTGCAAAACGACTACAATGAGAAATATTTTGCCTGAGTTATTTTGTACTTTGTCTAAAGACTGCCCTTCATCTCTCTCTGTCTCTGTATATTCCATTCTTTCTCTTTCTCACACACACATATACCCTAAGTTAGGTTTTTATGCATCATTCTTTTCTTTCATTATTATATCTGCTGCTGAAGCACAAAATTTAACCACAAGTAACCAAATACTGTAGTAAGTAATCAAAGAACAAACATAACCCTAGTCAGAGTTTGGAGGTCATTCCCAGGGTTAGGAAAAACTGGAGCCGATGAGTATTCCCTGAGCGCCTACCTTTACACACCAGCACCAGCGCTGTC